TATATAGTTAAAAAATGGACATTGGCTTCAAAAGTGTTTTTTTCTTACTTTTAAACTTAACATGACAGCTTAAAAAATTACAAATGTTTTTGTCAAATTTTCCAGTTAAAATGTTTAAAAATCATTGAAACAAGATTTACATGAGATGCAACACTGAAAGATGTTAAGATTCATTGTTAGCGAATGTATCGATATAAGTGTATTTCATCTTATTGAGCTGGCAGATTTTTTTTTTTCACTTGTAAAATACATTTATCTTGTTCCAAGCATATTTTTGAGGTATTTTAACTGTAAATATTTATTTAAAAAAATATGATTTTTGCAGTGTATACGTAACCAGATGGGGTGTCGATTTCCCCAAAGCGTGAATCCTGTGATGTTGAAAGGGAAAATCTATCCAAAAATATTGTTTCAAAAGTGTATGACTTAGGGGTGGTCGATATAGCCTCAAAATTATATCACGATATTTCAAGAATATTTGCGATAATGATATTTATGACGATCTAGAAAAAAATATGGAATAACATTTTATTGGTGATTGCAGCTGGCAGGCAGCAGCATTTATCAGTGCAAACACAATGAAGGGCATTTTCCATCCTTTTCCAATGAGCTACTGTCATTGATGACAGACTACCTAATTTGAAGTGTAAATCTATTGTCATAAGGTGGCAGAAGCAGCATTATAGTGCAATAGTAGTGACCGGTGTTGGGCAAGTTACTTTAAAAAAGTAATTAGTTATAGTTACTAGTTACTTCTCACAAATAGAAACTGAGTTAATAACTGAGTTACATCATTATAAAAGTAACCAATTACCAGGGAAAGTAACTATTGTTACATTTAAAAAAAAAAAATGGATGCCTTCAATGTTAAATGTTACTGTAAATGAATGAAATGGACACTACATGGAATAAATTATTATTTTGTAAACATTGTACACTAATACAAAATTTAAAAATACTTATTTAACACTTTTTAACATTCTAGCAGATATTATACCAACAAAGCACAATTTAACTTAAAATTAATAAGTTCGTAAAATAATATTTTGTGGCCATTTTTGAGACCCCCTTCTTGAATCAGGCATGCAAATAAATGCAGTCTTGCTGAGCAGAAGAGGATTCTTTTAAAACGTTAGAAAATACTACAGATCCCAATTTGAACACTATGTGTGAATGTTATAATAAATGTATTAATAGAGCTGTTGTAATTATTATCATTATTATTGTCTTACTTTTTAATTTTATTTAACAGAACAACAGTAAAATGACAATACTAACATTTATGAATCGTGATGGAGCTTTTATTTTGACGGAAACCTGCAGGAAGTCCTCTGTGCTTCTTTTAGTTGACAGCAGCAGATTTATAAATTATTCTCATTGCTAATTTGGGAAGATGCACGCATCACATTGTCACATGCCTTGTAAAGATTCATAAAAATGTTACTGAGCAACTGATGAGTAACAGTTTCAGCGCAGATTTCCCTCGCGGGTTGGACTTTGAACCCTGGCTAACTAGACAGCGTCGCGAGCTCGTGAAGCACTGTTTGAACATGCAATTCGTGCGTGTATTAGAAAACATAACGTTCTGCAGTGTATTTAATTGTTTAAGGCCATTTCACGATTTTAATCATCATAACAGTAACCAGCAACAACCACCCCTTCCTCATCGGAGACATGAGATGCAGCACTAAGCAGTCTCTCGCTGTCGGTGCTTTTAATGATTTTTGCGTCTTTCTCGGACAGTTTTAAATACTTTCACACTGCCGTCATGTTTGCTGCATTAGTGCATGCCTCTATTTGATCGCGTCACGTGTTGTTCGGTACAATTTATTCTGTCTTTTTGCTTATTGCTATTTCTGGCCGAATAATTTCGGCTGCCGAACATTCGGTGCATCCCTAGTAAATACGTCATCGCGTTGCTATATCATTGATATCGCGATATGACACTTTTTTTTTTATCATGTAAAAATGTATACCGGTGTTATCGTGGAAGGTATGATTTGGCACACCCCTAGTATGACTTTCTTCTTCACAACATTAAAGAAGTTATTTTGGAGAATGTTGAGGTCCAAATTATGTTGCATCCTATTGGCTTTCATTGTATAGACAAAGACATTTTTCAAAATAGCTTCTATCTCTTGCACAGAAGAAAGAAAGCCACAGTTTTGCATATGACATGAGGGTGAGTAAATAATGACAGCATTTTCATTTTTGGATTAAATATCCCTTTACATTTAGTCAGTGGGGCATTTTTTTTTCAGGAGATCCTCCAAAACTGACACTAAATGATTTGAAATACCTTTTTTTTTTAAACGTATTTATATGGCAAAAATGAATTTGACCTCTTAATTACCTATTAAATTACCTATTTTACCTATTAATACATTTTTTGTTCCCATTGAACATCTTGAAAATGTCGCATTATGAAAGCAGATTTCATTGCACGTGTCCTTTGATGTTGACTTTAAATTCAGATATCACACTGGTTTGCAATTTCCAACTCTATTATTTATCAGTTTCTTATCTGCTTGTTGTTCATTTGAAGTAAAGCTGAAACATGTGTCAATAAGAGAAAGACGGGAAGAGACAAGAAATGTGTTTTGGATTTCCACATTTCCTCAGGATGCCTTGTTCTCTGGCGAGTTGAAAGGCCTATTTAGTCTCTCGGCTCTCTTCCTGTCAGAATCTGCATTAGTCTCCAAGGCTTCTATCAGCTCTGAGACAAATCATAAAATCACTACCTGGCTCTTTTGTGGGCTACTTGCTCTGCTTCCCTTCATCTCGCCTCAAGAGTTTGGACCAAAGAAGCCTGAAAGCAACCTGAGTGGAAACGGATCTGCTAAGAGTGGACTAAGATGTAAAATAATGCGGTTGATGAGGGATTGTTTGGATTTTCAACACCCGCTCATGATTAGAATTTGATCTTAAAGTGCTCTGCGGATCCTCATTTTGGAGAAATTCTCTCCTAGATCCGCCGCCTCTTTGAAATATTTGAGGAGCCTTGCGGTCTTCTTAAAGCGGTTCAGTTTGCGCTTAGATATGGGAGCTTTCAGACATTTAGGAGTCTTTAGCCTTTACCTGGATTCATTTGTCCTGATTGCTGCAGTCTTTGAAGAAACTTACATGAACTTACAGTGAAGTTTTAACTGCTGATTCAGTATATATAAAAAAAAAAACCTCCCAGACTTCAGTAATTGGACTGGCACTGCACACTTTACCTTGTGAAATTAGAGTTGAATGTAGCAGTATGAAACTGCTCATTAAAACACTCTCTTCAATGACACCTGTGACCATGTGCACCAGACACTGGTCATTATTTCCAGGTTTTCTCTTCACGCACAATTCTTCGGCTGTCGGGAAGGATGCGTGCATCATCACATTTCTTCTCTGTCCTTTCATTATGTTCTGTCAAATCACTGTCCGTTAAAGCCTTTTGTTATCCTGGTGTTCTAATTGGCTGACTGACGCCGACCATGATTTTGTCAAGTAGGACGTGTTGCTGGATCACCATGTTTTATTGGTCCTAGAGCTACATTTTAACACTGATCACTAACTACCCCTGAAATTAGAGCAAATCATTGGCTGATTAAGAATGTCACAATGGTTTGAGTTTCGGTTTCACCCTATAAATACTTTGTTTACCAACAAACTTTCTTTTCAAGCTGAGCAGAACAATGCTTCATGCCGGGAGAAATATTTTTGAGAGTCAGAGCCCATCATGCACTGTGCTTTTGGGGGAGAAACAGTAAAAAAAAAAAACTGTTATGGAAAAGAACAAAGAATGCTGTGGAAAAACCAAATCGACAGGGTTCAACACAAGTTTTAAATGAGTTTGTACATAGCCTGGTTCACTTTTTGGCGAGATGTGTAATGCTTTTTACTGGAGTCCCAGAGATTTGATCCCTGCTGGTTAGCAGCATTTGAAGAACAGGATGGGTGATTTTGAGTGTAATTTTTTTAATTTTTTAATTTTTTATTTTTTTGTGGCAGATGTTCTCAGTTTGTACATACAGGTACATCTAAAAAAATTAGAATATCATGAAAAAGGTCAATATTTTTTGTCACTCATTTCAGAAAGTGAAACCCATATATTATACAGATTCCTTACACATAGAGTGAAATATTTCAAGCCTTTATTTCTTGACATTTTGATGATTATGGCTTACAGATAATGAAAACCCAAAATTCAGTGTCTCAGAAAATTAGAATATTGTGAAAAAGTTCAATATTGGAAAGTCATGGTGTCACACCCTAATCAGCTAATTACCTCAAAACACCTGCAAAGGTTTCCTGAGCCTTTAAACTATATATGTATATGTATATGTGTGTGTATACACGTACACCACCCAAGCCATTTTGGCTTCATGTCCCACAACAAATATTTAAATTCTAATTCTCTTTTAATTTGGAAGCTAAAAACATTTTAATCATATAAAAGGTGTATGCATTTCTGTATGAATTAACTTATATAGTATATGAAAATCATGATATGGACAAAATTGGTATCATGTCATTGACCTGAATATTTGAGTATTGTACAGTTATTGGGTAATTTTTGTTGTTGAAAAGCATGTATATAAGTTTTTTGCAGTTTGCAGACTAAATTACAAGATGCTGTTTTTGTTTCTAAATGTTTTTTGTTGTTTTGTTTTTTTACAGCTAAAATGCATCTTCAGCCATTTGTATGGGGAGGTGGTTTGTTTAAGCATGCCGGAAGAAGCAGCACGCAGGAAGTTTTTTTCAGACCTCATTTTGGTGCAGGCAGCCAAGGCGCCACACCGCAGGAGGAAAACAGGTAAGTGTTTATTGTGGTTAATGCAGAAGTATAGATTTATCTGGTCCTGACTGGAAGTAGAACACCATTTTTGAAGTGTTAACTCCCGTTTTTTGTTATTTAAACTTTTACCTTTGCAAGACTTCTTTACCAACTTTCTCAATCTGTACAAGAGTAAATGCAGCTGCAGGCAGCAATTATCTGGGCCAAGCACTGTGAACATTGTTCATTGCACCGTGCTGAAATCTAAGCTACACAGTAAATATGGTCAGATACCCTCATGGCATGATGATGATATTTTCAAAATGCCCTGTATTCTGTATGACTTGGTATATAAAAGGAATTCATAGAGACTAGACCAGAGATTTGCAACCAAGTTATGGGAAAGTTACAAGAAAATCATCTTAATTTTCATCCAGACGATTCCAGTGACTACCATAGACTCTCAGAAAGAAAAAGAAGAATGATAAAGGCTACACACCCTTTGTGCTTGGGCACTAATGAGGCCATTAGTATGCGAAAGGTGTATGTTAAAGTGCCTTATGTCTCTACCTTAAGTCTGTCTAGGGTGTCAGACAGTATGGTCTGACTGGATGCTGATGTCATTTATTACCATTATGACTTTCACGTTCCCCACACTGTCCCTAACTTCCTGTTCAGATTCTTAAAGGTATAGTTCACCCAAAAATGAAAATTTATTTACTCAGCTTAACGTTATTCCTATCATGTATGATTTTCTTCCCTCTGTGGAACACAAAAGAAGATAATATGAAGAATGAAAGTCAGTGGGGTCCAATACAGCATTATATGTACAGGTTTATTAGCTAAGTTTACATGCATCCAAATAATTAGTTATTGATGGCTCAGTTGGATCGAAATCCTTTTAAACACCTCATTCAATCTGATTGAGCTCAATCCAAATAAAAATTTGATTAAACTGAAAGGGGTGTAGATCTGAAATAATCCTAAAAACTAAAACTATTAAAAATAATTTTCGTTAGTTGACATTAAGCTGCATTAAAATGTAATGTTAATATTAGATGAAAAACTTAAAAAAAAAAAAAAAAAAACTTTTTGAAGTTGAAGTACTAAAATTACTAAAACTGAAATAAAGCTAAATAGAAATGTATAAAAACTAATAAATAAAAATGACATAAGCACATAACAAAATCACTAAAACCTAAATTAAAATAAACACTGAAAATATAAAATTAAAAGCTAATTTAAAATATTCATATTATAGTGATCATAAATAATGATAAAATAATACTACATTGTAAGGACAAAAATGCACTTTTCAAAGTATTATCATTTATAGGGCTGTCCTCGACTAAGGATTTTCTGGTCGACTAGTAGTCATTCATTTTAAGCATTAGACGACTAATCGCACGTTTATTAATAAACCATTTAAGTAATTATTATGAGCCTTTAATTGCCTACGTAGCCTAATATGAGCTCAAGCGCACGAATAAAGCTTGCCACAGTGCACCGGCAGAAGTAATGGTTATGAATGTGTCAGTGAAAAACATTAAGGAGACTGCATTAACATTTCTAAAACTCATAAAACTTTCTTTGTTTTCGGTTTAAGAGATGAAGTCGGTGACACTGACTCGTCATCTCCACAGTAGTGATGCACCTGTATACATGTTTCACACGGATTACATAATCTGAGAATATTTGTTTTCCATTTGAATTGGTTCATTTGAAAGTAGACATTTCACTCTCTGTAGATATATTTTTAATGTCTGTAAGGCAAAGATATATATGGAGTTTCGCGCTCGAGTTAGCAGAGACCAAAACGGAAGAAAGCACATCCGGTTTGCTTTCTTTATTTTACAAAAGTGCTTTTTGTTGATATTGCGAGTGCACACAAATAAACGTAGAGTCTTTACAGATTTGAAAGATGTAT